CCAATGTATGCAGAAGATTAGTCCTAAAGATCAAGCAAATGTGCTGTAACTAGTCAAATACAATCTCTGGTTTTTTGTAGGTTTCATAGCACAGACAAAATATCACTTTACAATCTCTCCATGCACTGATGGAGTTATCTTCTAGTTGCTCAACAGAATTTGAAAATTGGGTGGGTAAGTAGATCATATATGACCAAGTAGTCTCAGCACTTATTGTCAAAAACAGAAAATCTACTACTCATCAACCAATTCCATTTAATCAAGTCTGACAGTATTTATGATGAAATAAATATAATAAAATATTCTTATTTCAACTTCGGACAACTCATCCAGTATAAATCAATGCAGCTCCACAACTACAAGAGATTTATACCCTTGAGAACGTAGGCCTGAGATATTCAGCAAGAACTTCAGACAGCCACAGAATTATATATGAAATATGATGCCTTTGTTCCCTAGCTCAGAGAGGTCGCATTTCTCTACAGTTTTACCTGGATCTCTGGAAACTGAAATATCATGCCAACTATCTAAAGCAGCTAAAGCAGCTTTACTTGTACAGAAAGCTATGTTACACTTGAGCTCAACTTGAAAACTTACTAGTTAGTTTTGTTTTTGATGGCATCTCCCCTTTTCTACCACAAGAACACACTTTCTCTAAGCTTGCATGGATCGCCAATAATAGAAATCTAATATTGGAAGTATTCACCACCGAAACCTGGGCAGTGCTGTAGCCCCCTTAACTGGGTTGCTCTCACTAAAGATACATTCTCAAATAGTGATATCAACAGTTTCCAGCCAACCTGATGGGTTTTACTGAGTAATCACTGTAGTTACTGTCAGAGATAGTGCATATGTGCAGGTTGATGCAACAGATGTTTGTCCAAGGCAGTTGGGCTCTAGGGCAGCAACTCCGATCTCGTGGGACAAAATCTGCCTTCCCACATAACCCTTTTGCACATGAGTCTTGATCAGACCAACACCAAAAGTAAAGGTTACGTTAGTCAGTGAATATCTCTCCTGTCATCTGAGTAGCAGGAATTAAGAAGAATTTGCTGTTCGTGTTACAGAAAAACCCAAACATTACACCTGTAGGCCTGACATATCATGTTTAATAACCAATATGGTAGTTAACAGAGTTTAAAAAATGACCAGTTAGAGGCTTTGGAATAAAGATTTACTGTTAGACTGATCTAATAATTCATATGCTTGTTGAAGGCAAGGAAAACTTTGCCATTTGGCAGCTTGACAAAGTCACTCTTGACTTCACAAAGAAGTTCCTCATGTGAAATTTTCATCATCATAGTGTATTATCATTAGCTGTTATGCAAAAGCCATGTTTTCACATACTCTGCGTGAATATCTTTGGCCGAATTCTACTCTCAGAAGAATTTTTGTCTAATTCATTGACCGCACTGTGACTCTTGAATCAGGATTTGTCTCACTGTTATCGAATGTAATTCCTGCATGAGTTAAACCTACTTCTCTTACATAGTTCATTTCAAACAAACAACAATAACAAAAAAAGATAAAGCTGCTACTTAATGCCAGAGCACGAAACAATGTCCTCAGGTGAGCAAAGAGTAATTGTTCGTTCTAATCAGGTAAACAAGCAGAATGAAAGTGGAGCTCTTAATAGAAAACCAAAAAAATCTTTCCCCATCACAAATTCCAGGGCACACTACAACATTTACGAATGCTTACCTGCTCATACTTCCGCTAAAAGACAAATAAGAACATTAAGTATATCTAACGTTCAGGTAGAAGACCCATGCATATCACACAAATACAGTGTTAACATTTATCTCAATGTTTGTATTAGAAATGGCAGTTCACAAGAAGATCTGTAAGTAGGTTTGTTCTGTATTTGTCCAATGAGGATCACAATTTGCATAATGAAATATGACATTTCTACTTAGCAGTCAAGACACCTCATAGATTAGTGCATCCTTGTTTCAGTGGCACATTAAGTAGAAATTCAGGCTTATAAAAATGAAATCATCAGTGATAAAAGTGAAAACTGGCACATTAGACTTTAAAAGCATGAAACATTACATGAAATTCTAATTTGGCTTTATTTTTATGTAGTACCTATTGAACTTTATAGTACATCTATAACTTTTTTAGCCTTATGTTTTCTGTACATTTAAAGTTTAAACTTTATTTGAAGAATATTCAGAAGTTACAATTTTTATATACATATGTAGTATGGCTTAGAATTTAATAATTATTTTAGCAATTTTCTGTTACAAGCTCATGTGTATGTTCCATCTATACGTACCTGACATTCACATCAAGAACAAGTAATATTATATTATTTTAACATTGTAACATGTTATTTTAAACATTTTGAATATTTTAAATCTTTTCATGGGTATATTTCAACAGCTTTCTACCATTCCTTTTCACATTTCCCACCCAAGAGAGAAATACATTTAAACTCTAATATGAGCTGGAAAAGAAAGTACAGTCTGTGAGATGCACTATACAGAATAACATAAAATACCACCAATTTTCATGTCCTAAACAATAGAAATATTATAACTGTTCCTGTCCAAATGGAAAATCCCTTGCTGCACTACCAAAAAAAAAGCTCAATTTAAATGGAACAGTTTATAATTCTTTGATTTGAAGAAAGGCCTTGGGAAATTGGGATATTACAGCACAAAGGTATTCTGTATAAAAGCACATTATAATTACTATTGATTTAACATATGTATCATCTGCATGAGTTACCTGGAAGAAGGTAAGCATATAAGAGAAATAAAATATGTAAAAAGCAACACAACCACACTACAGACTGAAACAGCTTTATTTTCAAATTAATTCCAAATACCTTTATCTATATTTTTCCCTGATTGAAGACAAGCAGCATGATTTCAGAAATGTGTTGCAATTGGAAAATCCATCTCTTATAATAGTGGTTTTGAAGATATCTATATGAAAATATTCTTTTTAATCTCCCCGAAATATCTTCCAACATAATTGGGATTTTATTCAGCCCTCTGCAATACACTAGCAGAAGTGAAGAGTTGAATTTTCACAAAACCCTGATATCAGCTCATGATATTTCTCCTCCTATGCAGATATCTGGAAAAAAAAAATCTAAAACCTTCAAGGGTCTTTTAAATCTATTTTTTTCCTCCAGGAAATGCAAATTTCAGTGATTCTTTTAGATTCAGCTGCAGCTTCTCAGAGGGGGGAAAAAAACCCCAGCCACAAATCCAATTTGTCTCCTACATGCACTGTCATGCGGTGTCTACACATAGCTTGCTTCTAACTGTTCCTTTCCTCCAAGGTCCTCTTGGAAGCCTGCTGCATGCTATATTAATTGCTCTGGTAGCCTGCTCCTAAATGTCATCTTTCCCAGTGAAAAGCCCTTCAGCCTCTCCCAAACCGGAAACAAATCCACTGAATTTTAGTCTGATGATAAATCTGTCATAGAGTGAACTCCGCTCACATTCAGGTGTAGAGAGCTTTCATCATACATCCACCCTGAGAAGCTAATACGAAATAGTCAAAAAATCAGGAAATCGCATTAATCTGAGCACAACTCCACTTTTCCTGTAAATCTCTGTGCCAGTTTCCTATTATACAGTAAGAATCAAATGAAACAAAAGGCATGCAAGTTTAATGTATAATATTCTTTTCTGTGTCCTGCATTTTTAAGAATTTTAGTATGCTGTATATTTTGTTAGATTGACAAACACATTGAACATTTATTTATTATTATTCTTTTAGGTAACTTTGCGCTAAAGTAGCATAAACATTTTCCCGCAGTGGAGTACCCATCAAATTATTGCTAGCCCAGTGAAGGGTGAAATACAGATCTGTGAATCTAACAGACACGATTGTGTTCTAAAATTCTTTTCCCATTACTGGAAAAAAATTCATATACAAAGTCTTTTCCAATGTAGTATCTAAGAGAAGTCAACCAAAGCTTATTTCAATTTTTAAAAAGCAATATGATACTCAAATATTTCCCAAAGAGTTTTCCCAGCAACTTTTCCATACTTTCTTTTGCAAATGTGGACATAGTCAAGTTTTTTCACTAACGTTAACATAAAATCCATACCACTAGTTAGACCTTCATGGGCTTGTATCAGTTGTACTGTGCTGTTAGGCCATACACTGCTGCTAACCCATGAGTTTTATTCACCAGTGTTGTTTGTGTCAGTTCACGCATATAAGATAAAACCCTAGGATGATATCCGGATGCTCTGAACCTTCCAGTCCTTGCTGTATCCTCTAATGCTCTGCTTCACATTTGAAATTTACTCCAGAGTCCCTAACCCCAGTACTGAAATTGTACATTATAGAAACAAAAGCATCAACATTACTCAAGACCCCATCAAAAGACAATAATACAGAGGCATCCTGTATGTAGATAACACACTTCTTTCAAGGAATACCATCGCAGGCATTTGCTGAACTCGAGACAAGCAACGTGACAGATCATTCAACAACTGCAGTGAACTTGCAACAACGTGGATGTTCTGTTTCGGCCAATCCAGACACCATCAGTATCTCTTTAATAATTCTACTTTCAAATTTTTGGAATATCATTTCCTTACAAGAGTGCCTACTTTGTCAAAACGTTACACTTAGTGTAGCTTTTCTGTATTTACACATGACCATGTCATTCAATATTACATATATTATGAGATCTTGAGAGATTAGACTGAATCAGAACTCTGCAAAGTATAAATCTACCTGGGAAATACAATCTCAGGAACCATTTTATCTGCCATAAAATGTAAAGCAAGACACATGCCAAAATTGCCAGCCACCCATCACAGAGGAATTCTTCTCTTTCCTATCTCCCTTGAACTTAAAAACCCAACTTGCAGCCTACAGAAATAGTCACATACAGTTACATAAGACCAAGCTTGTAATAGCTTCAGGTGTAGCCAGCCAAAGAATATCACTCTTATCAGTGATGAGCCTTCCTCACCATTAACAGCCATTTATATTATCGAGTAAAAAGCTATTTTTCCACTTACTGTGCCACATCAGATACAGCTGGCAGCGGTGACTCTTCTGATACAAGGTCGATGTCATCGATGAAACTGTTGGCCCGTGACATTTCATGGGGGTTCCCTTCCACACGTCTTTTTACTGCACAGATAATTCAAAGAAGTCATAGCACATTAGGAAGGCAACATATATAAGTGCCTTCCCTTGCCTATAATATTCTACTACAGATCAAAGAAGATATGTCTCATATGGGACATGGCTTTCTTTTTTTGTCAGAATCAGTGAAAATGATACTTATAACATATATTCTGTACAAAAATCTATATTTGTATGTACAGGTCATATACACAGGATTTTATTCTTGAGGGTTGCCCTCAGTGTAAGCAGAAACTCACTGTTTCTAAAAAGCTCACTGCAGACTATGAAGGAAGACAACGGCCAGCCTAGGAAGGAGCTCACTTAGAGACTGCAAAACAGGCAGAAGTGCAGCTAGCCCTGTAACTGATGAAAAATACTTATATTTCAAAAAGCACCAAATCTGGTGTCCATTTCCATTAAACACAGAGGCTGACTTCTTCCACTATAAATGGGAAGTATGTGTGTCTTTCTGAGTTTATTTGCATGAATATTCATAAACAATTGCTGCATTAAAAAGTCTATTATATTTAATTCAAAATTATGAAGTAAAACTAGCTTAAATTGCTGTGATCTAAAACAGCACATTTGTCATGACTTCTAGTGATTCTAACAGTTTCTAATGAAGTTCTCTAGTCTATTTTAATTTTGATCATTCTTGAAGGCTCTGCTGGCAGGGTAACTCAGAAAAAGCATGGGATGATGCAAATACAATTCAAGGGTCGGGGGAAAAGATAAATGTTTCTGGGGGGTGGAATCACTAAAAATAAGTGCGATAAGTAAAACAAATAAAAGACTTGTGTCACTTCCATGCATATGCTGTGATAGGGGGAAAAAAAAACCAAAACACAAACCACACAACAGAAATGAGAAAGACTGCCTCCTAGAAAATCAAATTACTGAAGTCCCAAGTTAGTACTAAAGCACCACTTTAGCTGGACTACATTCAAGCTAAACACTAAAGCATTCTGCATCAGAGCTTACTGTTGGAAGAGCTATAGCATAAATGGCAAAGAGTGAAAATGAAGTCTATAGAATACAATTTTTTCTAATTTGGCTACAGAAGAGCTTCTCCTAGAAGTGCTGTCCTTGAGTGTCAGTGTTGAGCAGAAAGCACAGGTCTGAGGCTCGTAACATTTGGGTGGTGATATTGTAAGACTGCTTTCTCCTCGCACACTGGTCACTGGTCTCTCTCAGAACCACCTGACTGATATTGGAGTCCATTTGGATTATTGGTTCGTGAAGTATTAAGCCACCACAAAGCAGTTCAGGATTTATTCATGTAACCCTAATAATAAAATCTATTTAATGCTAAGTCTCTCTATGCTTTTACCACTCTAAGTTCTGTGTGAACCCCGCTTTAAAAGATTAACTCTTTAATACTTTAACTTTTTCCTGTCCATGATTCTAGACATTAATGTTAATAGTAACCACAAGTGTCATGCCTGTTGCTCTAAATATTTTTCTGTCTTTAAGGGGACTGCCACAGTTGTGAGCTGTTATCTTGACAGAAACCCTTTCTTGAAGTAACTCATTTTCTGAGGTAACCATCATTTGCACTGAGTAAACTTCCACAATTCACTTCAACAGAAATGTTGGGTGATAAATCAAGATTCCCCAAAAATCACACAAAAAGCAAACAACACCTTTTTGAGTGCCAGGAAGCTGTGAGATTCTGAACAGTTAAGTAATTCATAATAATCATTCACAGTAACTCTTCCATTTTGAAGAAACCTCAAACACTAAAACACATTCAATATATGGCAGCAATGATTTCCAGGAGTAAAATCTGAAGTTGTAAGGTCCAGCTATTACATACGGTAAGTTTTTAACAGCTTTTACTCAAGCCAGAACAACTGTATCTTCCTTCCCTGCATTTATTTCAATAAGCTTTCATTTTCCACCCTAGCTTTAGGGATACGAACACCTAATTGTTGTTGTTGTTGTTGTTGCAGAAGAGCAGGGAGAGGAGGCAGGGACACATGGAGGAAAGAGAAGAGAAGCTCTTTCCAAGGGCTACTGACAATATGAAGCAGCTGTTCCTGTTCAGATAAAGAATTTATAATCTTTTCTGAGCATGAGCAGCAAGTAAAAAATACAGAATGGCACCTAGTGTAGTATAATGAATACCAATGAATGCCATAGACTTCGGACTCCACGAAACAGAACAACAACTCAGAAAAATGAAACAGCCAAAGGAAATCTAAATTTCATAAACCTCTGTATTTTTCTCTTTAGTGTCAACTTCTAAAATGGTGAATATGTATAATAAACACCCACATGTGACTCAGAGCCATGGTCATCCTTAAATAGGCAACAGTGCCTCCTTATAACTGGGATAAAATAACCACAAAGATTTTGCACTATTCTGTTTCTAGATAAAGCATGAGGGATAGGAGAATGGGGAGAGGAGCAGGTCCCTTCAGAAACCTGCTCTATCATCAATTCACCTACTGTAAAAACCTCCAACTTATTGTCTATTAGGAGGGTTTTTTTCATATTCACTAAAAAAGGAAAGCAAATTTAAAGATAATTCATGTCTTTCCCACGGAATATTATACTTGCTAAAAGTCTGCAGACAGGAAGCAAAGGGTAAGCTAAACCAGTGTTCAACCAAAGTAGTAAAAAGATTAACGTTCAGAGAGCAGTGGTGAGGATAAGGTATCTTTCTCTATCACATGGAAGCAAGGGTGGGGGGCTTTATGTTCATTTGAGGTTTTATTTATTTGTTTTTAAACAAAACATTATCAAAAGGGGACTTAAAGAGACCAAAACTAAATCCCAATCTATTGCTTCAATGCCGCTTTTCTTTTTAAATTACTTTTACCTACTTCCACTTTTCTTTTTCTTTTTTTTATTAGGAAAAAGGCTTTATATTAGTGCTCAAAAAGCTATTCGGTATAAAATAACTCTGAAATGAAATTAGATGTGAAAGAAAAGTAACAAGATAGCATTTTATACCATGTAATGTATTTTTACCACTGTTATATCCTTTGCAAGAACTCAGTAAGGACGGTAAGAACCAACAACAAAAACAGTAGGATTAAGCACCAATCTATAACTAGCTGCTTGATTTACATTTACATAGCTGTAATGGAAATAAAACGCAGTTTCTTTCCATTTTTCCTGAACCACTGACAAAATAAAAAACAAAAGAAAGAAAACGCTCACAACTCCCCACGTCTCTAGTTTTTCTTTTCATTGAATTCAGCTGGACCTGGCACATCATCAAAATTACTGTAACAACTAGTCCGCTTTATAAGCTTTAATAAAACTTTTCTTTGGAAATCAATCCAAATGAAATATTAAAGTAAAGAACTAACTTCATCTGTGGATCAAACTACATGTTCAACAATGGGAAACAAAGCAAGTTTACCAGTTTCTTTACAGTGAGACCAAGTGAAATTTTTTTTAAAGGTGCACAAAACCTATTTTCTGACATGACACAGATATTCAATAACGTTTTAAGTTTCTAAATCCCCTATGCATTTGAAGAGAAAACTGCTTTGCACACTTAATCAACAGTACATTTCGCTATTTAATTTGTTCCCACAGCAATTATTACTTTAAAAGAATGTGCCTGCACAGAATACCTTATGGGTGAAAGGACACCGGGGAGGGACTCTTAATTTTTGTTCATTCACACTCCATGACATGTCTAAACTAGGAACTTCTGCTTTCTTTACAGTCTATAGAGAGAGAAAGAAAGCAAATCTCTGAAAAGTGATTCTGTCAACCCAGTCTCAGACACCTGCATTAAGCTTATAATGCACATATCTTGCTTCCATGTATAAGGTAGGTTGGGTCAATCTAACCTAAATGTTGCCATTGCCAGTTAACGGCTTACTGGCTTTCAAATCGGAAGTCACCTGTTAAAGCATTCCCTCTAATAACACTGGGCTGTACTAAAAAAAAAAAAAGGAAAAGAAAAGAAAAGAAAAGAAAGTGTCTTCAATTTGCTATTACGCCTCAGCAGCCAAACGGTGTTCAAGCTCAACTAAGCAGTTCTACTGGAAGAATCAGGCAAAACATATCACTAGCACAGACTGAATCACTTCTTTATGAAAATTTTACATTTGAGAGATTTTCTTCGTTATTATTGTGGAACTGAAGTGTCAGGAGAGCGCTCAGTCAGTACAAGACTAAATTCTTACTTTAGTTCATTGACACTTCCATCAAAATGTTCAAAATCAGGCATTTGAAGCTAAGATTTTAAATCCATACTAGGTTCTCAAATGTAAGCCACTTGCAAATACCGAGATACTGAGATTGTCTCATACACAATTCAGAGCTTGAAACAAAAACAAGCCACAAGTTCAAAAAACAAGCCACCTTAGGTATCTAATTTTAGCCATCTAAATTTACTGTCATAAGCAATACGATTGATACCGTCGTTCCTACGTGTTCCCCCTGAATTCAATTTTGCTCACAGACCCGCAGGAATCAGGCCAAACTGAATCAAAGAGCCTAATATACAGCAGAATAGAAATAAAAGAGCAACTGAAGTAAGAGTAATAAGAGAAGTAAGCAGAGTAACAAGAGTAAGCCCACATTTGCTGCAAACATATTGCTAAGTATATGCAAAAAATGCCATATGCTGTTACTGCTGTACTTAGTAACATGTTCCGCTGTAAGTGTTTTAGATAAACTTCAACATCTGGCATCCTGCATATCTGATTTAAAACAATCAGCACTCAAAATACACTAATGCTGAATTTATTTGTTGTACATTCTTTTGTTTAGATAAGCCTGCAGGCCAAATGATGCACTGACTTACACTCCATGGAACCATAATCACTCATTGCACACCTAGTGGGACAGCACGGAGGTGTAAAGGAGTGCCAGCAGATAATTCAAAATCACAGAGGTATGCAACACTGGAAAACATGCAGAGAGAAAACAACAAAAACCACTTTTGAATGCATATGAAGATCCTGTAACCTACCTGACTGCCTGAACATCCTTGTAAGACCTAGCAAACAAGAAGGATGCAACATGTTCACACAATAAAACAATAAAAATTGTTTTCTACCTATCATTAATACAGAACTACTTTTAAAAAAGTACAGTCAATACAAAACCAGTGCTTTTTAAAGTTTTTTTTAATGAAACATATTGGCCTAGATGATTTGTATAGTGAGCAAATGTCCATACCACCAAGCCTGTACACGCTTGGCATTAATTGACAAGCAGGTTTGTTGATAGATTCAGAAAGTGGTCAGGGACCAATTGCACATGGAAGCTCAAGTACCCCCTCACACTCAGATACGACCTGTCAAAAGAGAACCAGAGATTAATGTAGCATAGTAGAGAAGCATGCACTTTCAGTGCCACCTAGTCAGATAGCGAGCTGTTACTTCCACCGTGCCCAGTTTAGCCCTTTTTGAAAGCACTAAGAAAGGATTTTCCGTGCCAATTTAATCTAAACAAATTCATTGGATTTTTTTTTAAGGTCTACTGATTGTGCCGTTATAAATGACAAAAGCATTAACAATAAGCTAAAACCATGAAAACATGGAGCAAAGCAAGAAGGTAGAGCTACTATTACAGCAGTTTTAACTTCTAGATTTCTGGCTATATTTTGCCCAGCATTTTTTTCATTTTTCCTCATGGGAACGACCCACAATAGAAAGCTAGAGGAAATTGCTTTCATTTCCATGTCAGTAAAATTAAAATTTACTCCAAAATAATATCAGATGTTATTGTTTTGAAATAGTGCTAAATACAGCTAACTGTAAATGAGCTGGAGTCATTCACCATCATTTAGTCATGTAACATGCTGTCCTGTAACATGAATATTTACTGTATGACTAGGTGGATGGTCCAAACCTGTATGCATCCATCTGACCTCCTACCTTTCTCAGGAGAAAGCAGTTGAGGATTACGTACAACTCTGCCAGCCTGGTATCTTCTTCCATGGCTACGCATAACCCAGTCCCCACTTGTCACAACAAAATTTACCTCTAAGGCCTTTTGCCCTCCATCTTACTACAAAAACCAGTCCATCTTCTGGAGTACCTTTGACCAGAAGACTCAAAAAATAAGTAACTGAGAAAAAGAAGGCCATACTGAACGCTAAAAGGGGTTCTCACTCTCAAGAGACAGGAGATTTTTTTGGATTACTCTGTTTAAGATACAGCGACTATTCACATATCTCAGTGCAATTATCCTTCTCAGGTTCCTATGCAGACACAAAAGTGAATGTTGACCTCTTTTTTTTAAATAGTTCTTCTTTTTGTGTCTTTTTCCTGCAAAGAGTAAATAACATCTTTTTTCTTATCAAAACTATTTCTAAAGGTAGAAGAGCAGGCATCCCAACCCAGTCAAAAGAATCTGGTTGCTATGGATAGTACTATGGGCTAAGATTGGGCCAGGGTGACATAAAATGGAATTTCCCAGTTAAGTGGTGGTGGTGGGGTGCATCCAGAGAAACCCAAGGGGTAAATTGCACAGAAGCTACAGGTAGGCTCTGAAATGTGCCACACAGCAGCAGGCAGCAACAGCAGGACTCTGACAGCAGAGTAGTTTCAAGTAAGTGAGAGCAGTTGGAAAAAGAATGCTTCTCCAACAGAAACGCAAAACACCTACTTATCTTAAGGACGTCCCAATCCTTGAGGTTATGCTTTTTCACGTGAGGGCAGCAGATGCCTCACTTCCTCAAACATCGCCTAGTACAAATTTGCTCTCCAGCTTGATTCTTCTTAACATATCTCTATTGGCGGCTCAGCTCCTCTGGACAAAAATCGACCTTGTGATCAACAAGAAATCCCTGGATCATAGTCTTCAGAGCCAGCGAAGTCGCTTGTTTCCTATAAGGACCCTCCCAAAGCGTTTGCAGAGAGGAGCTTTTTCTTCCCCTTCTGTTTATCCTTCTTTGCAGGCCTCCTAGCTCAATACCACAGAGTCTGGCATTAAAAACTTCAACAAGGCAAACATGCAGAGTCACAGAACACTGTGGAGCAGCTCCACTTCTGCCAGTCGCTCACATTTGCCATAAATGCTCAGGAGCTGAAACAGCACAGAATCAGCTGCCAACATCTATTCCCAGCAGTGAGCTACTTTTCTAGCATACATCAGCTCCAAATGCTGCCATGAGCAGCACCGCTGAATGCAATTTGTCTTGTTAAGATTCTTTCCTAAAGGACAGCAAGAAAACAGCATCTGTCAATATTCTACAACAAAGTGTTTTGACTTATTTCAGCTTTGACAGGCATTTCATTTCCTCTTTTCCGAAGTATCAGTCAAGTTCCTTTCACTTATCTGAGACAATCACCCTGCCCATAGACATTTTCAAAATGTTTTTTCAGAGCTGGAGATGCCATCTACAGCTTGCACAGGTTCAGGTATCAGCTGTCCGTGACTAAATTAAAAACACCCAGTTACTAATGCATCTAACTTTTTAAGGCAAGCAAAACATGTATTTGATTGTTGGTTCAATAATTCCGGAGAAGAAAGTGTACAGTGAGAACATTCAGAGAAAATATAAGACAAAAATAGCTTTGAAAGTGATCCTTCTCCACTGCTTTTTTAATTATTTTTACAGGACAAGAAGAACTTGACCTTAAAATGAAACAATTAATAGCCAGTGAAATGTAATTTGGCAGCTTGTTAGCTCTGCGGGGAGAGCTCTTAACACATACAAACAAAAGAGTTACACATAGGGAACATATCATGCAATATAAATATATAGAGTTACTTTCCATTATGGGATTCAGAACTGCCATTATAGTAAAAATGTTTATTTTAAAAAGGAAATACAGTTTTAGCGTGGCTATTAGAGAAAATAAACCAGTTTGAAAACATTTTTATTTTTCATGACTGTTAATGTTCAAAGAATACAAATTGCAGTGACAGTAAAATTAGAAATATCATCCGAATAGCTGTCAATGTTTTGACTCACAAGAACACACAAATTAATTATTGCAGGTACAGTGAAATATATCACATAATTATTTGCTGGCCTAATACAGTTTTGTTTCATACAACTGAATTCTTGTAAAACAATTTCCTATTCACTAGCAGTTAATTATGAATTCAAGAAATACAACATTGTTACCAATCTGCTTATTCTCTATTGTCTGGAAACGGACTCTAAATTAAAGTAAACATTATCAGTAGAGGGAATAATTGCAATATTTGTCCTAAAACTCAAAAAACAAGCCCAGAAAAAAAAAAAAACTTAGCCATTGACTGAATTAAATCAAAACTATTCCAACCTAAAACACAAAAAAATTATTTCCTTTTTTTTTTTTCATCTGGAATGTACAAGGTTATTAAAAAAAATGGATTTGAATGTGTCCTGCAGCCACTGAGGCTTCGGTGACCTTGATTCGCATCTGGCATCAGGCCATGGTTTCACGTGAAAATCACAGGGACAGTGACAAATACAGACAGATGTAAGCAAGCAAACAAGCTTATTGCTCAACCTCGTCTTCCTCTCTGGGAGAGGATTTATGGACCAGAGGATGAAAAAGCTCACTCCTGGAAACACTTCTGTTTGACCAAACCACTCTCCCAATAAAATGCATCCCCATGGAGCAAAAGTGTCCTGTTTGAAAAGATGTGCAATCAAGCCCTGAAAACCAGAGAACAGATACAGCTGCCAGTGCTGAGACTGCTAATCGTGAGGGTCAGCATACTATGAACCAACAGCAGATTATGCCTGTCCCAGTATGTGAGAAATCCAAATGAATCTTGAACTTGAGGAGTAACTTGACCAGGGTCAACATCTTCAGAGAAAGTAGATAATACACAAATCATGACACAAAGTGTCTCCTTAACCCATCAGAGTTACAAGGCCTTGATTCCATCACCGTTTCTTTAAGCAATCGATCTTTGCCATAGTATTGAGGGCTGAGACAAAGTCATCTTTGTCTTGGGTATAAGTGACACAAAGCTCAAGATTATCAAGTTGTCACTGTCATTGAGGTTTTGTTTTATCAGAGTTGACTTTTCTATATATACACACAGGTACAGATGTTGAACCGTAACAGAGTGAGTGGGGGAAAAAAAAGACTTCCATGGTACTATTTTGATTTCTGGCCAGAGATTTTCCCTTTGTTTTAAAAAAATACATAGTACAAGTTATTGTCTTAACATCACTATTGATTTCAGTGTATTGTGAAGACAACAGAAACTGTGACTAGTACAATCATCTTTGTGCCTGGCAGCACTGCGTGTCTAATGAGAAGTTCTGCTATTTGTTTGAAAGCAGAACAGAACACAATATTTCCTTCAGTGTTCTTGCAAGTGAGAGACTAGACCCTGAGTGGAACCTGAATAAATAATTTGCCAAATCCAAACAGTGATTCCGAACTTCTATCCTCTGCTTTTTAATACATACTAGGAACAGATAACTGGGTCAAGACAGTTCTTGGGTCAAGTTTTTCAGGTAGCAAAAAACATGCCCAGAAAATTCTTTATATGTTACTCATTTGTTTTTTAAATAAACTGGTAGACATACTTTTAGCTGAAACTAGAAAAAAGAAATTGCTCAGGACAGAAGTTTTCCTGGGGAAAAAATTTCAGCTCTGGCAAACATTTTCAAAAGTACTTTCTTCATAAAACATTTTAGCCTGCTGAGGAATACCATCCCCTTTTCATGGCACATCAAATACTTGACAGTTTCACTACCTTAAAGGATTGTCTCTGAATCACTTCAGTTTGATTTTCACCACAATATATTCTATAATCCCTTGCTGTTGCCTCAGTGTTGAGAAGGACCTTTCTTTGAGGTTCATACCATATTCCTGGACTTATATCCAGTATGTAGAGCCAAAAGCCCACCTGACTTTAGTCTGTGCTCTGTCTTCACCATAAGAAGGTTGGTTTTTGAAAACAAATAGAGGTATTTTCTTCCAAGATCATTTCTATTGAATTTAAAATTGAATTAGAATAGAACAGGTAGTACCACTTCTAGCTTTGCCTCAGGCAAATGCCAGAGACACAGGCTACATCATTTCTGATACGGCT